GCTCGGCCGCTTCCCGATTGGCCGTCTCCAGCCGTAGCCGCTCCCTCGCACACGCCAGCTGCAGCCCCGCCCCTCCCTTCCCTACTCGGCAGAATTTTTAATCATAATATTTAAAAGTATTAGTTAATTGTTGTTTTTATTAACACCGAGACCATTATTAAAGAAAAGAAAAAAAGAACTCTTCGTCAATTGGGGTGAGGCCGAACGTAACGCACCCAACGCCAGGGCCATCAGATCTCCAATACACGCAAACAGGATTAAAGATTGTAAAATAAAGAAACAAAGAGCTGAGAAAAAGAAATGAGAAAAGAAATGAGAAAGTGAGTACACGACAACTGGCGGGAGCGGCACTCCAGGTTGGCACGCAGAGTGCAGATCTTGTCAGCACCATCGGCTCGTTCCTTGCCCTCTTGGCCGGGCATGGTAGTCTGCTCGTCGTCCGTTGTTTCACCACTCTTGTTCCTCCTGCTGGACGTCAAGGCGTGGGGGATGGTCGCCATCATGACTGGCGTTCACTTGCGCAGCCCTCAATTTCCATCACATTTGTTCATTGGTGTCACACGACTTGAGTCTGATGTTGTTTTGACACATACAACACACATGATGATGAACAACACCAACAAGCTCAGCACCATTCAATGTTGCTTCACACATGACCCCAAGCTTCTGGATGCTCTCAAAAATAGGGGCTACACACGGCTTACTGCTGATCCAACGCCAGGCCATGTGGTCAAGGTTTCATGGCTCCCAAACGACCGCCTGTGAGGGTGCTCAAGAAGGTGATCACATCTGATTAGAAAAGTAAAGAACAGCTTTCCTTCTTTGTTTCCTGTGCATCTTCAACCCCCTATCATCGCCGCACAGCACGACTCAATGTTTGAGTTCGCGGTGCTGGTGGAGTGAGAAGTGTGTAAGAGAAATGATTGCACTACTAGGACTTTAATACGCGTACATGTCGCGGATGTATCTTGACCTGACCACACCACCCTGGTCTGACGTGGTGGCGTCTTCTTCACTGCTGCTTGGCGTAGACATCGCGAGCGACGTAGGCCTTGAGGCGCTCCCTCTCCGACACGGTGGTGAAGAGCTTCTTCACTGCCGGGAAGGAGCCCAGCAGCGACTCCTCGCTGGTGCCCTCGATCCTGCTGACGAGCAGGCGCACGACCGCCCACAGGCTCAGGTCAGCGTAGCTCAGCTTGGAGCCCACGAGGTAGCCGCTGTTGCCATTCTTCTCGAGCAGCTTCTCGAAGTTGGCCAGCTGGCCTGGCAGGGTCTCCTTGACCAGCTTCTCCTTGGCCTCGGCCAGCTGCTCGGCCGGCGTGAAGAAGAGG